AGCATCATTCTGTGTTCCACATCTCTCTGTAATATTCACCACAGGAAATGTAGCTTTCATAAATATTGGTGATGTGTCTTAAATTACTTTAAACACATCTAGAATTATATAAAACATTTTTGTTAGTATTTTTCTGCATGCTTACTAGCATTATGTCAATTAAAATATATTAAAATTTGTAATATAACATAGATACCCTCTAAGAGGGTATATCCTAAGAGATATCTAGGTTATGATTCTATTTAGGAAGTAGTGTATCAGCAGAAATCATTGTTCTCTTGCTAATAATGAAGATAAATTGAATAGGCTATAAATATTAGTGTTTTTAAATCTATAGAGACCTAAAGGTGAAAAGAAACGTAAACTAAGGTCCAAGATAGGAAGAGCCTCAGGAATGAAGAGATCTTTCACTAATATCATCTCTAGTGCCACGAAGGGTAGAGGTACAAATTTTCTATGGAAGGGGAAAGTAGAAGGGAGTCAAAGTTTCATAGCTTTGATAGGCTAGCTTGAAGGATTAGAATTTCAAGGAACTCTAGGCACAAAGCAGTCCACCTTCACTGTGAGGTAAGACCTACAATTATGGTTCATGTTGTGCACTGCCTTGACTTCTGGTAAAGTCAGAAGGGGCATGAGTGACCTAATGCCATCTCCTAGCTAAATAACCCTCCTTATCAATAGACCAAATGTAGCTCCTGTTTATTCTAGAGCACTGGTCGTCAGGTCACAGCCAACTGTGGAATTATTCAAGCTTAAGTCACTCATACCCTCTCTGGGAACCTTGGATCACCTCATCCTCCTGACACTACAAAGCCTTCCCCTTACAGTCCCTGGTTGTTCACTCTGTTCCAGAGTGCAACTCCAGAGTGATCTTGAATGACAGGAGATTTTCCTCCCCTGAGTGAGTATGTATGACTAATAAATTACTTCCAATTTCATCAGTCCATTGTTGTGTGTTTTATGTGCAGCCATCCCCATAACACCAGAGTGGGAATCCCTTTGTCACGAAGGATAAAGAGGAGGTGATCAAGGCACCTAAGCACCAATTTTGCTCCATAGGGACCTCAAAAATACATTATCAATAAGGCAATGTCACCCACAAGGGGGTAAAAATTGGTTCTTTGTGGGTGAAAAAGTCTTACTCTTCTTATGGATAAAACACAAAGACACACACAGTATGTAAACAGATGTATGGTTTATCCGTGGTATTAAAATTTTATTGGGGATTATTAGGAAAATAAGTCCAAAAAAACTGAGAAATCCTAATATAGTGCCTGATGGTGATCTAGTGTTTGCCAGAATGACTGAGAGAAATCCCTTTAGGGGATTTAAGAACCTCTCCTGGAATGTGTTCTGAGTCAAAGTCTTTGGACACGGCAGAATAGCTATGACAGGTCTAAGATGAATGGTCCCTTTCTGAAATGCATCATAGTGGCCGTTAGAAGACTAAAGACAGAGCAGGGAAGCTGACAGATACCACCTGCACAGCATACATGGCCATCCCCAAGTGTGCAGCCACGACAGCTCAGTGAAGGCTGTGGCGGGATAGAAGCATCAGAAGAAATGCCCCTGAGGTGTACCAGTTATACCAATTCCAAGGCAGTGGCAAAATCACTGTGCAAATTCCCCCAAGGTATGCAGAGTCTTAGACAAAGCAAAGCAAAAAGAAGGTAGAAAGAAGTTCTAGAGGTGTAGAAAGACAGGCCAGAGCTTGGGAGCAAAGTGATCCCTGCAGCAAACTAAAAGCTGGTGGCAGACTGCAAAGTAGAGATAGATCTCCTAGAGTTCATAAATCTGGTGTTTGGGTTGAAAAAGTCCTGGCACCAGTCTCAAAACGTGTAAGCCGTGGTGAAATAAATTAAAGTTGCAAAAAATGCCATGCATTTGTTTTTCAATCACTTTATAATACAGCATCATAATTTCGCAGTTTCAGGGGACACAATTTTACTGTCTCTACGTATTTCTGGGTCAGGGGTCCGGAGGTGGGTTAGGTGAGTCCTCATGGGCTGCAATCACAGCTGTTGGCCAGGGTGTGCTTCCATCTGAAGCTTAGGCTCCTCTTCCAAGCTCACAGAGTTTTTGTCAGAATCCAGTTCCTTGCGGTTGCAAGACAGAGATCCCTGTTTTCTTGCCTGCTGTCTTGTCTGCTCTCAGCAACCAGAAGCCTCCTGAAGTGCCACAAAATTTCAGGCCACTTCATCAAAGAAAGCAGAAATCTCTCTCCCTTTGAATCTTTGACCCTTTTGAAGGGTTCCCATCCAAATGAATCATACCTACTCAGGATAATCTCTCCTTTGATTATTTCAAAATCAACTCTTTTCTCACCTTAATGACCCCTACAAAATCCTTCCCTTTGCCACATAATATAAGTTAACCTCAGGAGAGGTTCCCCATGTATTCACAGTACCCCCCCACACACAAGGGGAGAAGAAGAAGTAGAGCACCAAGGGCAGGGAATCATGGCGACCATCTTGGAATTCTGCTAGATCCCATGATAAACTCTTGTCCATATGTTTCATCATTTCCCTCCCCATCAAGCACAGTCTTTTTATCTCTTTTCTGGGGATAAAACTTATTTGCATTAGGCTCTACTCTTGTTTTATACAGAATGTCTAGCATACAAAAAGAAAGCAAAACAAATAAAAAGAGCAGAGCAACCCATAATCGATGGACAAAAACAAACAAAACAAAAACAAGGTCAGTAAAAGAGACATATAATTGAGATGTTGAGATGAGCAGATCATGACTTAAAAATAACGCTGTTGACTATGTTGGAGGAGCTAATGGGGAAAAGCTGATAATGTATAAGAACAGATGCAGGATTTCAGAAGAGAAATTCAAAATATAGAAAACCAAAAATATACAATACCAAAGTAAGGTGTCTTCTGCTTGGCAATGTGACTTTATTATTTACCTAAATGTCCACACTTGGCCTGGGAAGATAGTCATCCTTATTTGCTACCTTGGCCCTCCCCATCTTCTCTTCTTTTTGGAGAAATTAGGTAAAACATTTAAAAACATGCTATGTTACATGTTTTCAGGACCCGGGAGCTGCTGTCAATAAGTTCTAAGTGTCTGTGGAACACATTCTTAAAACTACTCCCATTGTCAAGAAGTCATTATTCTATTTTTCTATCTCAAATTATACTTTTTATCCTCCTTTGTTCATCCAAGCTCACAAGACAGGGTTATAAAACGGGTTCCATTTAATACCAAATATTCCTTTGGCAATAATTTAATATGTCCCAACACTAGTGATGGAGTCTATATGCCATGTACAGAGATATTTCCTGAATATTTTGCTATCATAGGAAATAAAATCAGTTTTCTCATTTTCATTTTATAAACAACACCTAGTTATATTAACTCCTCTTTCCTATGTCTTATCGAAACCAGTCTTGTGTACAGCTGCGTTCCTGGTATGATTGATACAAGTCTGTCATATTGTCTTATAAAGCCTTTTACTAGCTTTCTAAAAAGTCCTAAAGTGGAAGTTTTCAATGCAAAGGCTCTCAAGTATCTCACTTTCTAAAACTGCAATGCAGCACAGAATATATTAAACTATTACATCATGAGCCCCTCATCTATAGAATTTACAAAACATGAGAAAAGTCAGAACTAAATATAACTTTGTTTGCAGCTTATACCCTAAATATAAGTTCCTTACACATTACTATTTCAAGTGAAAATGAAGATTCATAAACCCAGAACTGGGGCTCCTGGGTGGCTCAGTTAGTTGAGCGTCTGACTTCAGCTCAGGTCATGATCTCATAGTTCCATGAGTTTGGGCCCCATATCAGCCTGGCTTCTGAGAGTGCAGAGCCCATTTCAGATCCTCTTTCTCTCCCTGTTTCCCTCTCCTGCTCACACTCTCTCCTCTCTCTCTGTCTCTCTGTCTCTGTCTCTGTCTCTGTCTCTCTCAAAAATAAATAAACCTTACAAAAAGAAATAAATAAAAACAACCCATAACTCATCACAGAGCTTGTCAATACTTTAGTTGTCAACTGACTTTTAATATTCTCCAGTGAAGAAATGTAAATTAAAAATGAAAAGAAAGAAAAAGAGAAAACACCTTTGTTTTAGTTCACTGAATTGTGAGTTAATTCACACCAGCTTGCAGGGTCTAATGCCTGCGGTATCATTTAAGGAGATAATTTCCTTATTAAGAGGTTAATATTCTTCCCTTGTGATTGTCTGTAAATCAAAAAGTAATCATAATAGTAAAAGAATCCAAGACACCATAGCCTAATCAGGCTGTTGGTTCCTGCACTGTGCTTTTTGTGGAAAGCTGTAGGGTATCTGTCATGATAATAAGACCTATGAAGGACGTATGTTTCTAAAGAGTTTATGCACATTATATCCTGAAAACCGAGTTAAAGTGTGAGATAAGATGTCAGATGCAGAAAATGGATGTGGAGATGTCAAACTAAGTTTCCAAGAACATAGGATTAGAAAGTGAAGCCAAGATCCTGTGTGATTTTCAAGGTGCACTTCTAACCACCCTTTCTATTTTTCTCTCAACATAGCCCCCTCTCTTGTGGTTCAGTGACAGGAAGGTGCTTGACTCTGTCTCATCTCTGCAGAGATGGAAAGGAGACACCAAACCTTTTCCCAGCCAAACGGGAGTTCAATGTTTACAAAAAGATTTATTCTATTTGACAAATATTTATGAAGTGGTGACTATGTTCCAGGCACTGTTCTGGGTGTTGGAAATATATTAGTGAACCAAACAAACAAAGAAAAAACTCCTGTCCTTCATGAGGAAATAATTTAGAAGAGAGACTGACAAGTGAGAAAATTATATAATGTGTTATGCAGTATGATAGCATGCTGTAAAAATAGGTAATGGAAAAGGGGACCCAGAGTTCTAAAGGAACTATGTGAACTGTAACGTGGATGTGTGTGTGGTACTGAAGCTAAGACGGTCTGACCGGGTCTCCCTGATATCATGATATATGACCAAAAACTTCTATTATGTCTCTAATATCTTGACCCCTTACCGGCTTGGAGCAGGCATAGCTTATTTTTATCAGCAACCACAACAAAACCTGCCAGTTAGAATATACCTAGAGGGGAGGAAAAGAGAATAGAATTTTACTTCATTATATTCTTCCTACCTATTCTACTAGCATTCTTACTGTGAAAAAATAATATCTGAAATCAGCCAGAGAACTTCTCTGTAGGCCATCTAGGAGTAAAAGGGTTAGTCATCACAGCTTGAGCTTGTGACAAGTCAAAAGAATGTGAGAGTCCCCATGTTCTGTGTTAGACTGCTCTCAGTACAGAGAACTAATAATTTATAGAAATAACATCAGGAAGCAAGAGGTGAATGCTTTCCATAACATTCTCCAAAGTAAATACATTTTCTCCTTATCGCCACCTCAAGCTGAGTCATTGATGGTACCTCCCCATGCTTTATATCTTTTTCTCTACTCTCCAGGCTATGTCATCACTTCTCGAACTGAGCATTTTTATCAATGTAAAAAGAGAAAATAGGCAATTATTTTCAACATACACATTTAAAAATCTTTACCTACACCTGTATCCAGAAGCCTAGTTATACATGTCCCTGTAAATAAAAGTTACTGAACATAATGTATTTTATAGTGTTATCTAGATACCAGGCACAGGCGTGTTTAGGTTACATGTTAGCAGATGAGTGGAAACAGGATCCAACAAATCTTTATTTGTCATACAGAAACCTACACCCAGATGTAACACTGAATGTTAATAACAGTGGTATACATAGAAATACTTCTTGTTTTAATGTACAGTGTGATTGTTTGGCTAACCATAACAACATGGACTAGATTAGTTCTTAAACTGGGATTAGATGATTGAACAATGGGGGTGAGTTCACCTGGTTCAATTCGAATGATGGACCAAGGAGTCTTTTTGTTACCCAAATGCAAAACAAAGATACACAAGATGATCTTGATCCTGAGATAGTAAAATTTCAGCATGCTAGTGAAATGCCTTTGCAGGTAGCATGGAGTTCCAATTCATCTGAAGCCACTGGGAGCTTAAGAAATTCAAAGCAAATCTTGGCTGAAGTGATGGCAAAGGGACTTAGCAAACAGCTCACCAGCCCCCTCATAGACTTTAACTGAACACATATATTTGAAAATCAACTTGGTAAAAGTGTTTGTTTCTTGGACTATGCTAAAATATGTTACATTTGTTCTAAAGAGTATAAATTTTAAGAGTATAAATTTTAACAGGGAAAAGCATGACAATATAATACAATACACTAATAAAAAATAAAGTAATTCTCTGGCTCTGGCTCTCTCTCTACCTCGTGTGTGTGTGTGTGTGTGTGTGTGTGTGTGTGTGTGTGTGTGTGAAGGAGTGGGGCAAGAAATCATTACAAACCAATTTGTTCATTTTTGTTACTTATTGGGGTTGTGAACACCAGATGTCTTACAAACAGAAGGAGAAATTGCCAGTGTTTTTATTTAATAATCTGGAAGGAAAATCATGGATCAGTACTCCCATAAACTTATAGTGCATGTGTCACACCTTCATATTGATTTAGAAGTCTACATCTCTTTAGTGCTACGATTAATGACATCTAGCAGAACATTCTACATTTCACTGACCAGAATATACAGGATGCTCCCACATTAGACTTAAACCTCACTCCCCAGAGAAGAGAGAACCATCTTACCTTTCAGGCATACACAGAATATTTAACACATTAGATAGTTTTCTTCAAGGAGCCAAGTTAAAGAAATCTGACATTGAAGTATAGATTTACAGTATCTTTCTTGAATAAATGCAAAAGAGGATATCAGTAACACTTTCAGATAGATAACACATTGTGATGTAATTCATACACTTTATCGAAGAAAGATTTTTATAGTTCTCTAATTATTTTGCTGGAAAAAAGCTATTTTCAAACATCATAATTGTTAGACTTTTTGATGTTAAATAAGTAGATACAATATTTGCTAAATGCCCTATATTAATTTTAGTCCACACACATAGGAATTTAATTTCAAGCTTTCAAATCATTTAAAAATTAGATGTTATATAACATCTTAAAAAGCTATGCTAATCTTTCTTGGACTCCTAAAAGGTAAAATTAAATAGGGCACCTGGGTGGCTCAGTCGATTAAGCGTCTGACTTTGGCACAGGTCATGATCTCCTGTTCTTCGTTTTGAGCCCTGCATGGGGTCTGTGCTAACAACTCAGAGACTAGAGCCTGCTTCAGATTCTATGTTTCTCTCTCTCTCTCTCTCTTTCCCTCCCCCACTTGCTCTCTGTCTCTCTCTGTCTTTGAAAAATAAAGATTAAAAAAATTAAAAAATAAATTAAAAGAGAAGTTAATATTTCTAAGTAACAGTTAATAGGATTAGAAACTGGAATAACTTGGGGCGCCTGGGTGGCTCAGTCAGTTAAGCGTCCGACTTCAGCTAAGGTCATGATCTCACCGTTCGTGGGATGGGGCCCCACGTCGGGCTCTGTGCTGACAGCTAGCTCGGAGCCTGGGGCCTGCTTCAGATTCTGTATCTCCCTCTTTCTCTGACCCTCTCCTGCTCACGCTGCCTCTCTCTCTCTCAGAAATAAAAATATTTAAAAAAGAAATAAAAAAAGAAACTGGAATAACTTTTTGGCAGACTTGACAAATGTGATAATATGTATGTGCCTAATACAACGAGTAATTAGAGTTTTAGGAATTTATACTACAAATAAATTTTCATAAATATGCATATATACACATTATAGGATGTTTACATTTGTTTTTATGAATATGGCAAAAACCTTTTTTTCTACATGGTATTATTATGTTATTTTATATCCCAAAACAGAGGACTATGCTGATATCAAAAGTGCCAATTGTGTACATATGTATATGCATATTAAAATATATATATTTACATTTACATCAGGATTTTAAAAAATTATTTTCAGAGTTGACTTTTCCATTCATTCCTTCCACACTTGGAACCTGGCTTCTAGCCCCACTTCTTTAAAGAAACAGCTGTAGGGGCGCCTGGGTGGCTTAGTCGGTTAAGCGTCCGACTTTCGCTTAGGTCATAATCTCGCGGTTCGTGGGTTCGAGCCCCGCATCGGGCTCTGTGCTGACTGCCAGCTCAGAGCTTGGAGCCTGTTTCAGAGTCTGTGACTCCCTCTCTCTCTGACCCTCCCCTGCTCACGCTGTCTCTCTCTCTCTCTCCTAGAAATAAATAAAAAAAAATATTTAAAAAAAAAATAAAAAAAAATAAAGAAACAGCTGTTACAGGTTCCATGTTGAAGGAAGCACTGCACACGTGTTTCAGTTTGAATGAACCAGAGCAAATTTATTTTATTTTATTGACCTGCATAGTAGGCATGGAAGAAAACTAATTCAAGATTTCTCAGATTTTCATTTTCATGACATATATTTAAAGAGTGGGTTTGATTAACAGTTTATTAGCAGTTTTTATGAGTTAACCCCACACACATTTAAAGCTAATGAAAAGAAGGCTATGATGGAATATTCTAGATCAGTTTTATCTTCCTCCTTAAGCAACCCCAAAACTGCAAAAATATTAAAAGAATGCTTTTTAGACAATGTGCAATATGTACACGATTATGATCCCATTTTAAAAATGTTTGAAGTAAAAAAATCTCCTACCTGTAACATATTTAAATTATTTTGCAATGAAATACATTTTACAAAATACTGAGTTATCTGACAGTAGTCAAATGACTTAAAGACTAAATGTAAATGTTTCATGATTTAATATTATAAGGTTTAAGTAATTTGTCATGTTCAAAAGTAACATTCTTTCTTTTTAAAGATTTTTTAATGTTTATTTTTAATTGAAAGAGAGAGACAGAGTGTGAGCGGGGGAGGAGCAGAGAGAGAGAGGGAGATACACACAACGTGAAGCAGGCTCCAGGTTCTGATCTGCTAGCACAGGGCCCGATGTGGGGCTTGAACTCACAGACTGCGAAATCATGACCTGAGCTGAAGTCGAACATTTAACTGAGACACCTAGACACCCCAAAAATTCTTTCTAAATTCAGCATAATAGTGTACATTCTTTTATGTTACTGAAAATAATAATTTATATGATGTATTAATAAATAGAATTGATCTGACTTTTTTGAAAACGAAATTGCTACCATACTCCTGGAAAAAATTAAAGTTAATCCTCTCTTGTTTTGTCTCTTAGCACCGATAACAATCTGTTAACTGTTTAACATTCTATCTTGTAAGATTTCTGCTGTATGCTGTGTGCAGTGTCTAAGATGTTACACAGATATTACTAAGCCAACATTGAGACTAATGAAAGTCAAATCCAGCAGAAGTTTCCATTTTCCCTACAATAAACTTAAAATGCCAATATCTGCTCACTGTGTTATGGGAGTATACAGAGGCAACTCTTAAAATTTGATGATCTCAAAATTTTAAAATGACTCTCAATTGTGGTTAAAATATTGATAAATAGTGAACTTTATTTATAGCTTAATAGTAACTTAAAAATTAAAAAGAAATGATTTGGACTTTGCCTATTGCTAAGATTTTTTTTTTCATTTTAAGTGATACAGATTCGTGTGTCATAATTATATATCTTATTTTCTCACTAACAAACTCAACACCAGCAGTTTGCTTATGTAACATTGTGTGTGCTGTGATACAGAATAGCTATCCAAGACCATCTTGACTTGCTGTGTTCCAGACTGTAGAATATAGCTGTTTTTAATCTCCTCTGAAATTAAATAAATGACAAGAGTATGGTTCATGTGTAAAAAAATCTAGTCATATTAATTTTCTGTGTGGGCATTATTTTATATCTCACAATTCAACGTCAGTGCTTCTCTTGCTAGCTATATTGAGAAATACAGGCACTATAATTAACAATGAGTTTATTTTCTCGCATACTAGGCAGAAATGTAGCCCCCCATAGGAAGATAAAAATGGAAAAGCAAATTAAAATGGATTTGAGCCAGTACATTGCTAGATCAATATCTGGCACTCATAGTCCTGCTTAGCAAAGGGTCTATAGCTATTCAGCAATCTTATTACTTCTACCAAATGACCAAATGCTACCTATGCATATTTACTGAGAAGGC